GGGTTCGACTCCAGCTTGTGGCCCTTTGCTGCATGTCACTCCCTCTCTCTCTCCCCCCTTCACACTTGTCTGTCCTATACATTAAAGGCTAAAATGCCCCAATAAATATCTTTCAAAAAAAAAAAAAAAGCTGCTGAACTGAGCTGCTGCTTCTTCTCTGCGTCGACGACAGAGGATGTAGAATCAGCAGTAGAAGTACAGAAGTGTTCTTGAACAACAGGTACAGGAGCTTTGCAGGGACATTTTAGAAAATGCTAATTCAGCATGAGTTAAATACTTGTTGAAGACAAATTAAATTGAAATCACAAATTACTTTGAAAAGATCAGTCGCTGGCGATCAGCCACTGAGACTGATCATACACACATCATGTGACTAACTGCTTCCTGCTGTTTCTGACATCTCACCGTAAGATTCACCAAAAACTGTTTCTACAGTCTACAGTCTTCTACAGTTTCATAAATCAGCCACGTTTATTTCTCTGCACCGACGATCGCTGAAGGCATTATTTTGACACGTTGTTTGTCACATTCTTGTGAACATGATACCTCAAGAACACCTCAAAGGAATTTCTTTAAATGTGGCACAAACGTCCCCTGAACTCAATGATGAACTGATTAGACTTGATGGTCATCGATCATAGGTCGATGTCACTGGGACTTTGTCTCATTCTTGTGAACACCTTGAGAGATTTCTTCAAATGTGGCACAAACGTCCTCTGAACTCAATAAACTGATTAGATTTGGTGCTCATCCATCAAAGGTCAAGGTCACTGTGACTTTGTCTCATTTTTATGAACACAGTAGCTCATGAACACTCTGAGAGGTTTTTTCAAATGTGGCACAAACATCCTCTCAACTCAGTGATGAACTGATTAGAATTTGGTGGTCAAAGGTCTCTATGACCTTGCATCTGTCTCATTCTCATGAACACAGTCTCCAGCACCTCAAGGGAATTTCAAGTTTGGCACAGACGTGCATTTGGACTGAAGAATGAACTGATCAGAATTTTGTGGTCAAAAGTCAGTGTGACCTCACAAAACATGTTTTTGTCCATAACTGAAGAATTCATTCACTAATTCTGACCAAACGTGACATAAATGTCTAACAGGATAAAATAATGAAGGTCTAAAGGTCAAAGGTCAGCTTGACTGTGACATCATCATGTTTTAACGTCATATCTCAGGAACAGAAGGGGAGACATTTGGTCAGATACTGAATTGGTGACTCTAATCTTGAAACTGTGCTGATTGTATAGATCTGCTGTGTGTGAAGCATCCATGTTTTCACTGACATGGATGGAGACTGTCAGAGACACTGGACTGGTGGGCGGAGTCATACAACCACAGGGTGGATTGGTGGGCGGAGTCATACAACCACAGGGTGGACTGGTGGGCGGAGTCATACAACCACAAGGTGGACTGGTGGGTGGAGTCATACAACCACAAGGTGGACTGGTGGGCGGAGTCATACAACCAGAGGGATGACTGGTGGGCGGAGTCATACAACCACAGGGTGGACTGGTGGGCGGAGTCATACAACCACAGGGTGGACTGGTGGGCGGAGTCATATAGGCACCGGGTGGTGATTCTAGCTTTACGTGAAGTTTTAATCTGAAAAGTAACAAAAGCTGTCAGATGAATTTTGTGGAGTTGAACTGGTGAACAACACAGCAAGTACCTCAAGTTTGTACTGAAGTGCAGTACTTGAGTAAATGTACTCAGTTACTTTGCAGCACTGTGGATTGAGGGCTCAGTGTTACCGTCATGTTCTCTGTCTGTGTGTTTACAGAAAAAGCCCGAGAATATCTGCACAAAACAGGTCGCTTCATCGTGATCGGAGGAATCATCTCACCGGTGCACGACTCCTACGGAAAACCTGTAAGTCATCCCGCCCAAAGACGTGTGTGTGTGTTTCAGTGAGCAGCATGTAGTCGCAGTAAAGAAAGCAGCTGCAGCTCTGCGCTGTTGTTTTCCACTCTCCTGCTCCCCGCTGGATTTAATGAAGCTCTTGTCCTACTTTCACTCTGCGTCTAAAGAAACACACTACATGAATAATAAATGGTGCAGAAACACAGTTTGAGCCACATCAGGAATCTGTGACTTTCAGCTGATGCTTTATTCATGTTGGACATTATTCACGTCCATTATGACCTCGTTAATGTGTTGAGTTTCATCAGCCCGAATACAAACAGATGAGTCACCGACTGACTCAGCACCAACTACATCTGTACCATATGCTGTATTCTGTAAACTACAGTACTACCATTCTCTACTCTACCATGATCCATCTTCGTGATCAGTGCATTGTTTCACTCTGTGTTTGCAAAGTTGTTCTCAAAGTCCCCCAGTTAATGTGTTTTTGTTTTGTTTTTACTTAAAGGTCCAGTGTGTAGGATGTAGGAGGATATAATGGAAGAATTGGAATTTGATACATGTTTTATTTTGTGTTTTTAGCTTAAAATGACTTCAAACAGATTCAAAATTCCCTTAAAAGGGACACAATGCCCTCAGAGACACACAAAATGACCTTAAAGAGACAACTAATGCTTTCCAAGGGACACAAATTTCCCTTGACGAGACACAATTCCTTTGAAGAGACATAAAATACCTTAAAGAGATTAAAAAGTTCTTTCAAAGACACACAAAATTACCTTAAAAAGACACAAAATTACCTTAAAGAGATCAAATACCCTTAGAGACACAAAATAAAATAAAGAGATAAAAAAAATATATATTTCAAAGAGACACAACATGACTTAAAATACACGCAATCGCCTTAAACAGGCAAAATTCCTTTAAAGAGAAACAAAATACCTTAAAGAGATAAATATATATATATATATATTTCAGAGACACATGATGACCTCAAAGAGACACAAAATTTTAAAAAAAGAGAGATAAAAAAATATATATATTTCAAAGAGACACAAAGTGACCTAAAAGAGACAAAATGACCTTAAAGAGACACAAATGACCTTAAAGAGACAACTAATTCTTTCCAAGAGACACAATTCCTTTGAAGAGACACAAAATACCTTAAAGAGATAAAAAAAAATTCTTTCAAAGACACACAAAGTTCTCTTAAAGACAACAAAATGACCTCAAAGAGACACAAAATTCCCTTAAAAAGACACAAAATGACCTCAAAGAGACACAAAATTACCTTAAAGAGATCAAATGCCCTTAGAGACACAAAATAAAATAAAGAGATAAAAAAATATATATTTCAAAGAGACACAACATGACTTAAAATACACGCAATCGCCTTAAACAGGCAAAATTCCTTTAAAGAAAAACAAAATACCTTAAAGAGATAAATATATATATATATATATTTCAGAGACACATGATGACCTCAAAGAGACACAAAATTTTAAAAAAAGAGAGATAAAAAAATATATATATTTCAAAGAGACACAAAGTGACCTAAAAGAGACAAAATGACCTTAAAGAGACACAAATGACCTTAAAGAGACAACTAATTCTTTCCAAGAGACACAATTCCTTTGAAGAGACACAAAATACCTTAAAGAGATAAAAAAAAATTCTTTCAAAGACACACAAAGTTCTCTTAAAGACAACAAAATGACCTCAAAGAGACACAAAATTCCCTTAAAAAGACACAAAATGACCTCAAAGAGACACAAAATTACCTTAAAGAGATCAAATGCCCTTAGAGACACAAAATAAAATAAAGAGATAAAAAAATATATATTTCAAAGAGACACAACATGACTTAAAATACACGCAATCGCCTTAAACAGGCAAAATTCCTTTAAAGAAAAACAAAATACCTTAAAGAGATAAATATATATATATATATATTTCAGAGACACATGATGACCTCAAAGAGACACAAAATTTTAAAAAAAGAGAGATAAAAAAATATATATATTTCAAAGAGACACAAAGTGACCTAAAAGAGACAAAATGACCTTAAAGAGACACAAATGACCTTAAAGAGACAACTAATTCTTTCCAAGAGACACAATTCCTTTGAAGAGACACAAAATACCTTAAAGAGATAAAAAAAAATTCTTTCAAAGACACACAAAGTTCTCTTAAAGACAACAAAATGACCTCAAAGAGACACAAAATTCCCTTAAAAAGACACAAAATGACCTCAAAGAGACACAAAATTACCTTAAAGAGATCAAATGCCCTTAGAGACACAAAATAAAATAAAGAGATAAAAAAATATATATTTCAAAGAGACACAACATGACTTAAAATACACGCAATCGCCTTAAACAGGCAAAATTCCTTTAAAGAAAAACAAAATACCTTAAAGAGATAAATATATATATATATATATTTCAGAGACACATGATGACCTCAAAGAGACACAAAATTTTAAAAAAAGAGAGATAAAAAAATATATATATTTCAAAGAGACACAAAGTGACCTAAAAGAGACAAAATGACCTTAAAGAGACACAAATGACCTTAAAGAGACAACTAATTCTTTCCAAGAGACACAATTCCTTTGAAGAGACACAAAATACCTTAAAGAGATAAAAAAAAATTCTTTCAAAGACACACAAAGTTCTCTTAAAGACAACAAAATGACCTCAAAGAGACACAAAATTCCCTTAAAAAGACACAAAATGACCTCAAAGAGACACAAAATTACCTTAAAGAGATCAAATGCCCTTAGAGACACAAAATAAAATAAAGAGATAAAAAAATATATATTTCAAAGAGACACAACATGACTTAAAATACACGCAATCGCCTTAAACAGGCAAAATTCCTTTAAAGAAAAACAAAATACCTTAAAGAGATAAATATATATATATATATATTTCAGAGACACATGATGACCTCAAAGAGACACAAAATTTTAAAAAAAGAGAGATAAAAAAATATATATATTTCAAAGAGACACAAAGTGACCTAAAAGAGACAAAATGACCTTAAAGAGACACAAATGACCTTAAAGAGACAACTAATTCTTTCCAAGAGACACAATTCCTTTGAAGAGACACAAAATACCTTAAAGAGATAAAAAAAAATTCTTTCAAAGACACACAAAGTTCTCTTAAAGACAACAAAATGACCTCAAAGAGACACAAAATTCCCTTAAAAAGACACAAAATGACCTCAAAGAGACACAAAATTACCTTAAAGAGATCAAATGCCCTTAGAGACACAAAATAAAATAAAGAGATAAAAAAATATATATTTCAAAGAGACACAACATGACTTAAAATACACGCAATCGCCTTAAACAGGCAAAATTCCTTTAAAGAAAAACAAAATACCTTAAAGAGATAAATATATATATATATATATTTCAGAGACACATGATGACCTCAAAGAGACACAAAATTTTAAAAAAAGAGAGATAAAAAAATATATATATTTCAAAGAGACACAAAGTGACCTAAAAGAGACAAAATGACCTTAAAGAGACACAAATGACCTTAAAGAGACAACTAATTCTTTCCAAGAGACACAATTCCTTTGAAGAGACACAAAATACCTTAAAGAGATAAAAAAAAATTCTTTCAAAGACACACAAAGTTCTCTTAAAGACAACAAAATGACCTCAAAGAGACACAAAATTCCCTTAAAAAGACACAAAATGACCTCAAAGAGACACAAAATTACCTTAAAGAGATCAAATGCCCTTAGAGACACAAAATAAAATAAAGAGATAAAAAAATATATATTTCAAAGAGACACAACATGACTTAAAATACACGCAATCGCCTTAAACAGGCAAAATTCCTTTAAAGAAAAACAAAATACCTTAAAGAGATAAATATATATATATATATATTTCAGAGACACATGATGACCTCAAAGAGACACAAAATTTTAAAAAAAGAGAGATAAAAAAATATATATATTTCAAAGAGACACAAAGTGACCTAAAAGAGACAAAATGACCTTAAAGAGACACAAATGACCTTAAAGAGACAACTAATTCTTTCCAAGAGACACAATTCCTTTGAAGAGACACAAAATACCTTAAAGAGATAAAAAAAAATTCTTTCAAAGACACACAAAGTTCTCTTAAAGACAACAAAATGACCTCAAAGAGACACAAAATTCCCTTAAAAAGACACAAAATGACCTCAAAGAGACACAAAATTACCTTAAAGAGATCAAATGCCCTTAGAGACACAAAATAAAATAAAGAGATAAAAAAATATATATTTCAAAGAGACACAACATGACTTAAAATACACGCAATCGCCTTAAACAGGCAAAATTCCTTTAAAGAAAAACAAAATACCTTAAAGAGATAAATATATATATATATATATTTCAGAGACACATGATGACCTCAAAGAGACACAAAATTTTAAAAAAAGAGAGATAAAAAAATATATATATTTCAAAGAGACACAAAGTGACCTAAAAGAGACAAAATGACCTTAAAGAGACACAAATGACCTTAAAGAGACAACTAATTCTTTCCAAGAGACACAATTCCTTTGAAGAGACACAAAATACCTTAAAGAGATAAAAAAAAATTCTTTCAAAGACACACAAAGTTCTCTTAAAGACAACAAAATGACCTCAAAGAGACACAAAATTCCCTTAAAAAGACACAAAATGACCTCAAAGAGACACAAAATTACCTTAAAGAGATCAAATGCCCTTAGAGACACAAAATAAAATAAAGAGATAAAAAAATATATATTTCAAAGAGACACAACATGACTTAAAATACACGCAATCGCCTTAAACAGGCAAAATTCCTTTAAAGAAAAACAAAATACCTTAAAGAGATAAATATATATATATATATATTTCAGAGACACATGATGACCTCAAAGAGACACAAAATTTTAAAAAAAGAGAGATAAAAAAATATATATATTTCAAAGAGACACAAAGTGACCTAAAAGAGACAAAATGACCTT